AATACATAGCATATATGGGCAAAAACATGCCTATACAAGATCAAATATAGCTCTTTGGAATGCACCGGGGTCCTCAATTTGTTTTCATATTTTGATAGAGTATGAGTCAGAGATATGATTTCATGTCTCATTGGCCATTAAGTGTATCGTGACATCTCTTTATGACCAATAATATTAAGATGAGCGTCCATTTAAGATAAATGTCCGTGCGCGCGAGCTCTTATAATACATAGCATATATGGGCAAAAACATGCCTATACAAGATCAAATATAGCTCTTTGGAATGCACCGGGGTCCTCAATTTGTTTTCATATTTTGATAGAGTATGAGTCAGAGATATGATTTCATGTCTCATTGGCCATTAAGTGTATCGTGACATCATCACAATGGCCTTGGAACTCAAAATAGGAATTCGCATATTATGACGTCAGCATATTTATGTAAAATTGATTGTATCTCTGTAAATGTTGATCAATTTTCTTCAAAATTTCGATATGTTGTAGCTAAGACAATTCTCTAGAAGCTCAGTAATACTATTTTTCATTTTGATGAACTCATCATAGTGAAAATTTCGATTAAAGGCCTCATGTCAAACATTTCATAATTTGCGTTATCCCTATAGAAGGTGAATTTCGTTCACGTCATGAAACTACATGATATTGTTTTTAAAGAATTTGTAAGCAGTATCTCGCTTATTTTTGCTCTATTATGTCTCAAATTTAAGTTGACCAGCCCACCTATACTTGTTCCAAACAAGTATTATATGTCTAGTTTATTATCAGGTGGGCTGTATAACGTACAGACCACCTTATAATTTCGTTAGAATTGCCTTTATTTATTTATTATATATTTTTCTTATTTCTAACCACTTTTTTGTTGGCAAGATAACTTGGAAATGGCTCAATCAAATGCCTTGAAATTTGGCATACATATGTATAGGCATATGTACAAAGCACAATAACGTTTTCAATACTGACCTTCACTGATGACGTCATCTAGGCGCCATTTTGTAAAATTTTACGAAAATCAACTCATGATCATATCTTCATAACCGAAAGTTATTTCATATTCATATTTATCATGATCAAGGTCAATATCCGTCCGGTTAATTGCAGGTCAAAAAACGCGCGCGTGCGCGTACCTCCGCGCGTCAATGCGCGCGCAAAATATTAAAATGCTCAAAATCGTCTCAAAATCATTTTGCATACGTTTTAGGCTATTCTAAGCATTTTATAAAAAATCGCGCACACGTGCATGCGCGCGCGTTTTCGCGCGTAAAACTATTACACAACATAGAATCGCCTTTTTTTTTCTTTCATAATATTCCACATATTTTTACAAACAATTTAATACCATGTTTGTCTCTTTATGACTATTAATAACGGAATGATCGACCTTTTAACATAAATTTCTGTGCGTGCGAGCTCTTGTATTACAAAGGATATATGGACAAAAACATGCCTACACAAAATCCATTGTAGCTCTTTAGGAAGCAAGGTCACCCTAATTATTTTTTCATATTGTGGTAGAATATAAATTGGAGATATGATTTCATGTCTTATTTTACCCTCAATTAACTCATGACGTCATCATAATGGCCTCCGAACTCAAAATTTCAATTTGCATATTATGTTGTCATCATATTTTTGGAAAATTGATAGTATCTCTCTTAATATTAATCAATTTTCTTCCAAAATTGTATATGTTTTAGCTGAGACAATGTTCTACAAATGCAGTGTTCACAATTTTTAATTTTGACAAAAGCATCATGGCGTAATTTTGCGATTAAAGGAGGAATGTCAATTTTTCACATTTTGCGTGTATTCTCTATGGGACTGAGTTTTTCTCAGAACTGGATTCTACATTTCCGTCTTTTGCGAGCAATATCTCCGTCGTTTTAGCTTTGTTTACGCTGAACTTCGAGTATGTTGTAGCTGAGACAATTAGCTATCTCAAATGTGCCATTCATTTTGTCTTAAGTTTTAGTTGGACCAGCCCACCTATACTTGTTCCAAACAAGTATTACAAATCTAGTTTATTTTTCTTATTTCGACCCACTTTTTTGTGTGCAAGATAATTTGAAAATGGCTCAATCAAATATCTTAAAATTTAACACACATATGTATAGGAATATTCACAAAACACAGCAAATTTTTCGACCATGACCTTGACTGATGACGCCATCTAGGCGCCATTTTGTGAAATTTTTTGAAAATTAACTCATGATCATATCTTCATAACCAAAAGTAATTTCTCATTCATATTTATCATGATCAAGGTCAATATCAGTCCGGTCAAATTCAGGTCAAAAAACGTGCGTGTGCGCGTACGTCCGCGCGTCAGTACGCGCGCAAAATTTATAAATGCTCAAAATCGTCTTAAATTTTTTTTGCATACGTTTCAGGTCATTTTAAGCATTTTATAAAAAAATCGCGCACACGCGTAACAACATTACACAACGTAGAATCGCCTTTTTTTTCTTTCATGATAATTCCCATATTTTTTCAAACAATTTGATACTATGTTCATCTCTTTATGACCATTAATTTTAAGATGAGCGTCCATTCAAGATAAATGTCCGTGCGCGCGAGCTCTTATAATACATAGCATATATGGGCAAAAACATGCCTATACAAGATCAAATATAGCTCTTTGGAATGCACCGGGATCCTCAATTTTTTTTCATATTTAGATAGAGTATGAATCGGAGATATGATTTCATGTCTCATTTGGCCATTAAGTGTATCGTGACATCATCACAATGGCCTTGGAAATCAAAATACGAATTTGCATATTATGACGTCAGCATATTTATGGAAAATTGATTGTATCTCTGTAAATGTTGATCAATTTTCTTCAAAATTTCGATATGTTGTAGCTAAGACAATTTTCTACAAGCTCAGTAATACTATTTTTCATTTTGATGAACTCATCATAGTAAAAATCTCGATTAAAGGCCTCATGTCAAACATTTCATAATTTGCGTTATCCCTATAGAAGGTGAATTTCGTTCACGTCATGAAACTACATGATATTGTTTTTAAAGAATTTGTTAGCAGTATCTCGCTTATTTTTGCTCTATTATGTCTCAAATTTAAGTTGACCAGCCCACCTATACTTGTTCCAAACAAGTATTATATGTCTAGTTTATTTTTCTTATTTCGACCCACTTTTTTGTGTGCAAGATAATTTGAAAATGGCTCAATCAAATATCTTAAAATTTGGCACACATATGTATAAGCATTAGAACAAAACACAGACATTTTCTCGACCTTGACCTTGACTGATGACGTCATCTAGGCGCCATTTTGTGAAATTTTCTGAAAATCAACTCATGATCATATCTTCATAACCAAAAGCCATTTCTCATTCATATTTATCATGATCAAGGTCAATATCAGTCCGGTCCATTTCACGTCAAAAAACGCGCGCGTGCGCGTACGTCCGCGCGTCAGTGCACGCGCAAAATTTCAAAATGCTCAAAATCGTCTCAAATTTTTTTTACATACGTTTCAGGCCATTTTAAGCATTTCATAAAAAATCCCGCACACGCGCATGCGCGCGCGTTTTCGCGCGTAACACCATTACATAACATAGAATCGCCATTTTTTTTTCTTTCATGATATTTCATATATTTGTTTGTACAATTTGATACCACGTTCATATCTTTATGACCATTAATAACAAGATGAGCGTCAATTCAAGATAAATGTCCGTGCGCGCAAGCTCTTTTATTACATAGCATATATGGGCAAAAACATGCCTATACAAAATCCATTATAGCTCTTTGGAATGAACCGTGACCTTCAATGTTTTTTTCATATTTAGATAGAGTATGAGTCGGAAATATGATTCCATGTTTCATTTGGCCATTAAGTGTATCGTGACATCATCATAATGGCCTTGGAACTCAAAATACGAATTTGCATATAATGACGTCAGCATATTTATGTAACATTGATTGTATCTCTGTAAATATTGATCGATTTTCTTACAAATTTCGATATAATGTAGCTGAGACAATTCTCTACCCGCTCAGTCAACACTATTTTTCATTTTGATGACGTCATCATAGTAAAAATTACAATTAAAGGGCACATATCAGAAATTTCTTACGTTGCGTGTTATGCCTATGGAAGGTGAATTTCGTTTACATCATTACATCAATGACATTTTTAGCAGTATCTCGCTTATTTTTGCTCTATTTTGTCTCAAATTTTAGCTGACCAGCCCACCTATACTTGTTCAAAACAAGTATTATGTCTAGTTATTATTATTATTATTATTATAATTTGATAAATAAGAGGTATTACCCTTGTTATTACAATATGTCAGGAACTTCTTGAATTATGACTTCATTCATGGTGACAGTATTACTATAGGAAGATAATCCAATTGAACTGTTGGGCTAAGCAGTCAAGACCATAGTTGTCAATTGATATCTAATTATAGACTTTTATTTGTCATTGTAATATGTAATTTGCCACTCTCCACCCAGGTTTTAAATGGGCACCAGTAGGAAGGAATTCATTGAATGCTGTGAGCACCGAAAACGGTAGCCTATTGGAGCCTATTGGAGCGCCTTGAGCACCTTGCGCTGTGGATATATGTGCACTATAAAAATTGTCAATATTATCATTATTAATTACTATAATTATTATATTATTATGATTTGTGTTAATATTATCATAAGTATTATCATGATCATCATTACTATCGATTCAACATGAATTGCAGATCTGTGATTACTTGATTTAACACGTTTTATCACCTAGTGGCTTGATTTTATGAATTAAATTATTACCCTATGAAGAAGACAAGAAATTGATCAAAATACATGTAGATACTACAGTGTATATCAATGCAAATCTCAAGAACCAAAGTGTTATATTTTATTGGAAGTGCAATAGTGCACATTACATTAATAATGAGTGAGCTTTGGGAAAGTAATCGTATAGCACAATTGGTCACAAACTTGTTTTAATTACATTATTATACAGGCACGCACAACAATGACAAGTTTGGGAATCGACGACGACAAAGAAGCGGATGATGTTCTTAAGTTCTGCCATGACATAGGACACCTCATATATCACCAGGGATGTGAGCTTATTGTACTTAAGCCACAGTTTCTGAACAGCATCGTCAGTAACATCATAACAGTCATCGATAGCGAGAAAATGGTTCGAAATATAATTTACATTTGTTTCACATTGTGTACTAGATATTCAAAGAGAGAAGAAGAAAAGAGGAGATCAGAAATGAAGAATGAGAGGAAGGAAAATTAAAAGGAGGAAAACGAATGAATTCTCAGAGGATATGGGTGCATGAACATGTGTGTGTGGGTCTGAGTATATTATATATATATACATATATATATATATATACATGTATATACTGTACACATACTGCCTTCAGAAAGTTGGGCACATCTGTAATCAGAACTCACTTTTCACAATCAGCCACGTTTTAACTTCAAATTTATGGCAATGTAACAGTTTGGTATCAAACTGAGGTGTAGACCTCAACATTCAATTTGACCCCCGTATAACAATTTTTGAAACGTTTCAGGAGGCATTCATGTGTAAAAAAAAAACAACCTCACCCCCCCCCCCCCCCAATATAGTTGTGCCTTATTTCTTATAGGAAGACAGAAAATAAAGAGGAAATAATAGGTTTCATAAAATGTGATGGACATGATGAAGGGTATATTGTTCTAATGAGAAAGGGGGTGGGGTACAATAATTGGGAGAGAAGAGAGGAGATATATTTGTATATACATATATATATATATATATATATATTATATATATCATATATCAAATTTATGTATAAAAATGAGCATTTTATTGCCACAATTTCTGATGAACTAACTAATTTGGTATTGCCAGACTATACGGAAACCCTGAACTGTCATGGTGTTCATTGTGAGGAAGAGTTCAGTCATTTATTTGTTCCCTTTCCAATACAACCCGATACATTCATTAAAGCTTGGCGTTTTTGTAGCATTTCCAAAAAAAATATCGTAGGCCTACTCTTCAAAGTTTTAATTGTTGTTTATTAGAACTTATAAACAATTACTATGAACTGGTAAAATTATCATAAAGTGGTTCCTTGTGGCTTATTGAGTGAGTCAACTTTCTGATGCAGTACATCTCACTATTTCTTTATGAGATTCAAGTTATTCTTCTTAACCCGTTATGGGCAACAAATTTATCATGAAAGAATTACTGCCTCTTTTTATTGCACGTTTCATTTTTTATGAGAGATTTGAAATCAGTACATAATGCCAGAAAGTTATTGAACTCACATTTTTTTTTCTGTGAAGGGGGTGGGGGTGTTAATTAAACCAAACTGTGTATTTGACATTGAGTAGAGACTTCCACATATTTTGTTAATACTCTATTTCATGATTTAGCAACTAGAAATTTGTATATGGGAACGAATAAACTCAGTGAATTCAAATTTGGTAACGTTTATCTAGTGCTCTAATATTTCTTTTTGGACTAGTACTGTTAATAAATACATTTTGAAAAAAAAATTAAATGGTTATATTCCTTATATTTCTTTACTTTTCATTATAACCTAGGAAGGGGACCTGGCCAAATATTGGAGAGATCTCAAGGACAAGGGTGTTCTTAGTATAGAATTGATCAAAGCTGTCTGGAAGGAACAAAAAGGACACCGTGATCAGCTCGATAACATAATTGACATGATGATCAAGTTTGATCTGATCTGTGAAATACCCGAAAAGCCTGATGGGGTAAGATGTAAACATGCTTTGGATTTCATGGAGGTTCTCCTCCGATAGTCATTTTTACCCAAATATATTTTGCCCTTGGGAACTATTTACTGATTAAAAGAAGGCAAGGAATGTGAAGGTAAGCTGTATTTATCTCAACATAATCGCCTTTAGTCAAAACCACACTTCTTAATACTACCTGATACAATTTCTTAAGCCTTGGGGTCACCTAAGGGCCCTCGTGGACTCCCAAGTTTCATTCCCTTAGCCGTACTTCACTAAAAAATGTACTTTACATCTTTTACAATGACAGTATTCATATAATGGTATGCGTATAGACATCAAGTACTATATCACAACATTAAAATAATCCATCTTTTTTCAGAGGAGACAGTTCTTTGTTCCCTGTCGTTCATCTCCCATGCTTCATGAGAAGGAAAGCCACGACAAAGGCCATACCGTCGAATTTACCATTGACTTCCATCACTTCTTACCAGGTTGGTTATTTCATTTTTTTTTTGTTAACTATTACAAGGAGCATTTTGTTTAATTGTAAAATCTAATAGTTTAAGGGATGATAACCCAAGGCAGCCATGCTAAAGACAGGGTAATAATCAGGATTGCCAGGAGTGTCAAGTCTTACAGACATGAGCGCTATACAAGAACCAATTATTAGGTACAGACCACCTATTGATTTCGTCAGAATTTTTCTTTCTTTATTCTTTATTCTTTATTCTTTATATTTAATTTCTACCCCTTTTTGTGAGCAGAGGATTACTCAAAATCAGTACAGTCAATTCATTCCAATGTTTGCACAGTCATTGGTTAATGTCATAAGACGTTTCCGGCCATCTAAAGCATTTCCAAACTAGATGGAACTTCGACTGTGCGCAGTCGAAAGTGATGCCTCCGTCATAGAGCAATTTTACAAACTAAAACGAAAGAAAATTTTCACATTCAAGTTCATGACCCCAAAATCTAATCAGTTCATTGACTCAGCAAAATACATACATGTCCTGAGTTTCATGGTAATCTGTCCATCTGTTTTAATGATAATGTGATCACAAGCTATTATTGCATACATAATGAGCCCTGTGATCTTTGACCTATGACATCATGACCCCAAAATCTAATCAATTAATTGGCTCTGCAAGATACATACATACATGACCTAAGTTTGGCAGGAACCCATCAACAGGTTCTTGAGATAACGCGATCACAAGCTATTTTTGCATACATAATGATCCCTGTGATCTTTGACCTTTGACCACGTGACCCCAAAATCTAATCAATTCATTAGCTCTGCCAATTACATACATGACTAAAGTTTGGTAGGAATCCATCAGTCGGTTCTTGAGATAACGTGATCATGAGAACTGGACGTACGTATGTACGGGACGGACAACCCGAAAACATAATGCCTCCGGCTACTTCGTAACGGAAGCATACAAAATGTGTGCTCGTCTCCGCTCGTCATGGCCGTAGGCAACATTGAATCACCATTTTTTTCATTCATGATATTCCACATTTTTTCCGAACAATTTTATACCATGTTTATTATCTATTTATGACCATTAATAACGGAATGAGCGTCCGTTCAGAATAAATGTCTGTGCATGCGAGCTCTTGTAATACATGGCATATTATAGGCAAAAACGTGCCTATACAAAATCCATTATAGCTCTTTGGGATGCACTGGGATCCCCCATTTTCCCATATTTGGATAAAGTATGAGTCGGATATCTGATTTCATGTCTCATTTGGCCTTTAAGTATATTGTGACATTATCATAATGGCTTTGGAACTCAAAATACGAATTTGCATATTATGACGTCAGCATATTTATGGATAATTGATTGTATCTATGTAAATATTGATTGATTTTCTTTCAAATTTTGATATTTTGTAGCTAAGACGATTGTATACAAGATCAGCCTACACCATTAGATGACATCATTATAGTGAAAATTTTGATTAAATGTGACATGTCAGAATTTTCTTAATTTATGTGTTATGCCTATTGAAGTCAAATTTTGTTCACATCATGAATGTACATGGCATTGTTCTTTAAAGGGACTTCGTAACATTGTTCAGATGAGAAAAAAAGGGGTGCTAAGGTAGTGACTTGAATACTAGATGTAAAATTAAAGATAATCTGTTTTTTTTTGTGTGAAAACGGACCATTATTACCAATACATATTGGGAAAACTGATCTGATCGAGTCCTTAACTCATAGCCTGCTATAAGGCTGCATGCACGCTACCGTTATAGTGCTTTGTACATGCGAGCAAACCATTGCTTCGCTGCCTTGTGCATGATTGCACGCATTCGTTATAGCAGTTATTGTTTCCCCCCCAATCAGTGTTATTTAGGGTACGCATATGCGTGTTCCCAGCACACCCCCTCCCCCCTTTTCAGCAAAAGTCTGGTGTGCAAAGTCAATACGGGTAGACCTGTTTGGATTTTGAAAACACGAATGTTATACCTCCGTTCCCGGAGTGGGGGCCGGGTATTGTTCATGCTCATTGGACGTCTGCTGTGCTTGGCACAATGGGCATTAGACCTGTGGCATGATAAGATTTAATTGTGCCAACTATATTATTTCAATTTAATTACATTTTAGGTGTATGTAAATCTTCACAAAGCAGTAAATTGGCTCTATACATACCATTCTAGACACTCAAGTGTTGAAATAATTGTAATAGCCTGTTTTATGTCTTTTTTTCATGGAAAAACGGTCGGAAATATTCAAAAATGGCTGGGAGAATTTATTTTTAATCACTATTAGAGGGTGATGCACAGTGACGCCTTCAAAGAAAACCATAGATATCTTTGTGGTTTGAGAATTTTTTTCAGGATTTTGTGCATGTCATAGGGTTAGTACAGTAGAAGGAATATAATAGGCAACATTTTATACAAAAATTTAGCAATTTTTTCATCAATCTTCAACATTGTTACCAAGTCAGTTTAAGCAGTATTTCGCTTATTTTTGCTCTATTTTCTCCTGAATGTTGATGTATCATAGCTGAGACTATGGGCTATAGGGGACATGATATTTGTTTTTCGATCAGATGTTGGGATCATGTCAACATTTTCAATTAAAAGTTGAAATTGCGACTTTGCCAAGGCCTTTTGTCAGCTTTGCAAGTAAAGTCTATGATAAATATTTTGGTCCAGTGGTTAAAGCACTTGCCTTCCCGCGGTGGGTCAATTTTTTATTTTTTATTTTTTGGTTCCGTTTTACATTTGATTTGATCACCTTCTTCGACTGTCATAACACATACAATCACAAACAACGTAATAGATTGCCAAATTTTGCGTTTTATTTCTCTGGGAGAGGAATGCCAATAGTTTGTATACAACCCTATGGGAAATCGAATTCATTGGCATTGATTTATATAGGGTTAATCTCCTAAGTCTAAAACAATATAAAATCATCCCATTTCTACGATGCTAGTCTTCTTTCCAGACATTTATACTTTTCCAGCTATTCAGTCCAGGTATATGCAATGTTTACGTCTCTCTCACGGAAATATACGGTAGGCCTGAATTCCGGAGGAGGTTTAGATTTAACACACGGTTTAACACGTTTTAAGGCCTTTTTTCTTCCTTCCTATCGCAAATATCATAGATCCTACAGAGTTCTAACAAGTTCCTCTTAATAGTCCAAGATATTTTCTTTCATCTGCGACGCATAACCTGACCTTCAAAATGCCATCTTCGCACTGCAAATTCAAATCCGAATCCGTCTCCATCAAAAATGTCTAAATTTTTTGAAAAAATAAACCCCTCTAAATCTAAAATTGCCATAAAATTCTCATACCATTTCCATTTCGTCTCAATTTCTTGCAGTAATTGCAGAAAACCATGCTTAATTGAACGGTCCAATGAATATGCAAACAATAAATAGCGCTCTCTAAAGTTTTGGGAATGTATATCCATCATTTCTGGCCAAACCCGTACCCTTTTTTTGGATGTAGATACTTGAAGATGTACCCTTTCCAGCCAAGTACAACATTATATACCCTAATGCTGATCAAATTAGAGAAAATTGCCCTCCAGATTCGCCATTTCCAAGAAAATTGCGAAATAACTTCAACTTGCTCTAAAATGACGATTCTTATACTTACGCACTCAATGAAAATTGGCATACACATAACACGTGACAATTTTCTACTAAGTTTGGTAACATTTAATGACATCAGCGCAAAATTATTACCCAAAATGATGAATTTGTTATGCATTACGTAACAGCCTGTTAAATGCGTGCAATACACGCAGATGCCAATGGTGTCAAACTGACCGCAATGAAAGGTTCTTTTGACTGACACCGAATACGTTATATGTTATCACAGAAATATTTGAGTAAGTTGCATATGAACAAGGGTCACTACTATGCAGATTCTGCTGATTTTCTGCCAAGTTATAACATGTATCGGCTATGACGTCATTTTTCAGACATGTTCATCATACACCAAATCTCATTGGTTTTGCACGCAGTGCTTGCGAGCCCTTTAGTGGTCCCTTCACACTTCGTAGCCATAGTCACTGCATTTTTTGTTCTCTGTATTCCCTCATGTGTGACCGTCCAGGCGCAATTTTGTCCGTTTCAGGCCATTTTTGTGTCCTTTCTTCGCCCTACCTATCTCTACTATCGCAGACGCTACATACTTCTTACAAATTGCTCTGGATAGTCCAAGAGAAGCTATTTCGTTTGAACCGTAGAAGCACGCACTGCATGTCTAGCTTCCTTACTGTTGTTGTTTAGTTGTTATTACTATTATTGTATCCCCCGGCAGTATGCCGGTGGGGTACTTTGGATTCAGCAGCGTTACGCCGCCGCCGCGTCATATTATTTTATTCTTGTGTGCGCTCTAAACGGCCACATTCCTTGATATATTCTTTCAAATTTTGTATGGAGGTGTATCGCTATGAACATGACAGACAAAGAAAGCGGACAAAATATACAGTTTCTCAGGTAGACAAAGGAACATCCCTTCACTGCTATTATGTAAAAAGTGAATATGCATGTGACACCTGTTCTACAAATTTTTACATAATAGCGGTGAAGGGATGTTCCTTTGTCTACCTGAGGAACTGTATATTTTGTCCGCTTTCTTTGTCAGTCATATTCATAGTGTATCTTGGTATAATCTACTCACCTATAACTTTTGGTGATGCTGCCCCCAGTGTTCCGTCTTTTATAGGGTAAAAGGCCATATTTCATTCTTGTGTGCGGTCTAACTGCATCATTCCTTAACGAATTTCTTTCAAATTTTGTGTGAAGGTGTATCTTGGTATGATCTACAGACCTACAACTTTTGGTGATGCTGCCCCCAGTTTTCCGTCTGGTATAGGGTTAAGAGTTCATATTTTGGTGGGTGTCTAGTTTGTGCTCTGCAGACCATATTTCATGATGGATTTTTTTCAAATTTTGTATAGAGAATTAGAAATGTATCTTGTTACCAATCAACACTTTGGGTGAAGCTGCCCTCATTGTTCCGTCTTTTATATGGTCAAAGGTCAAATATGTCTTTAATGCGCTCTAACTGCCACATTTCTTGACGGATTTCTTTCAAACGTTGGAGGTGTGTCTTAGTACAATCATCTACACCTTTGTAGTGTTTGGTGATGCTGCCACCTGTGTTCCGTCTGTTATAGGGTCAAAGTTCATATTTTGGTGGCTGTCTTTTGTGCGCTCCGACTGCCACATTTCTTGACAGATTTCTTTCAAATTTTCTACAGAGATGCATTATACTCTAATCTACACACATATTGTTTTGGTGATGCTGCTCCTCGTCTTGACAATAGTCTGAGCCACTAGTGGCGATCTCTACGTCATCCTTTTGTTTCAGGGAAGGGAGAGGGGATCTTTATCCCTCCTTCGAACATAAGGATGACACAAAATCGCTGCCACTGCCGGGGGATACATTCGCATTGCGCGATATTTCTAGTTATCATTATCATTATTATTATTATTATTTATTATCATCATCATCATTGTTTTTGCCATTCTTATTCCTATCATATGTTTTATATCCATAGGTTTGTATTTTCTTTAGATGCGTAACCAGCCGATTCTGAATTTTAAACTCTCCAAATCTGTAATATAATGTTGGGGAATCTGTTGTTATTTGATAGATGGTTTCTTACACCGGTTCTATGTTCGAATGGCAAGATGGTCCATGCAGAACAAGAAGTCTATCAAACCAACTTTCCACTGCAGGCAAATGGTGTTCTATATTGACAGTCGTCATAGAGTGGTGATGACGAATGAGATCAACATTAAAGAATGTCATCAAATTAAGGTAGGACTACATGTGACACTTTCCCATACATGTTGATGTTTCACTATGGTTTGAGTGTTATCCATATACCTTAGCGAGCTTTACCTGTAGCAATTATGCTGCATAGTATATTTTAAACATAGATTGTGGAATACCTCATGACTCGGGGTCTAAAGAAAGTAAATCTTGATCTATGTATATATATAATACAGTTTGTTTGTAAGAAATTTGTGTATGGAACTGCTGCCATTTTATCGAAATTTAAATGTCAAGTTGCAAGTTGTTAACCCAGATAATTAAAAGTAGTATTTTGTAGATATACCTGTACATGTGTCATTATTATGTTTGCCTTCATCTTTATCACAATTACTAGTGTTCACCTTCTTCTGGTGTCTTGATAGGTTGAGATATATGCAACAGTCCCAGTCGGTGCACCAGCCACAGTCAACCTGGATGGCAAGGTTAGTACTAACCCTAAAAGGGCTGGGGGAGGGAGGGGGAGAGTCCACCCCACCCTTGTAGCATTCCGCGATAAATTCAAGGGGAGGGGGTGGGGCGCAATGCATGGTATTAGGCAACTCGACACGTCACTGTGTGTATTGTTTATGATGCTGCTAATAAATGTATTTTCTTTCATTTATTAAGATTATTGAAGATCTGCATGGAACATTGGAGGATCTCAAAAAGCGCTGGGCAGGACGGATTGAATATTCTGTTGGAATAGTGTGTCCAAACTGTTCTAAACATGGCGATAAGGAATTGATCCGCATTAGAGATATCCTGACAGACCAGGATGAGTATGCTTCTTGTGATGATGGTTGCCCTTCAATATATGTTGGTGATATCCTGAGAGCATTTAACAAAGGTTTGTATTAAAGGGATAGTTGTTTCTTGTTTAAGACCGCAAATGCCTTGAAAGTACATGGTTATTGCTCATATTCTTATTTATGGCATTTCTAGTGCCCTTCTAGGACCTAGAATTGCTATGAAGGTAATTTTATACCCCAAAATGTGTGAAATTTTGATTTTATCCGATCATACCAATTCAGCTCCACTTTCAACAAAATACGGTGACCGTTAATTTCAAATAATAACAATACACGGGCCGGCTATTTCAGTGTGCGTATTATAACCAACACGAAAAAGCCAACAAAAAGCCAACTTTGGAATTGGCGGCTGGAATAAGATGTATCAGGCGCTATTTTTTTCTTTCAACGGCTGGTTCAAAAATATTGAATATTTGTGGGGCTCCACAATTTTTTTTAAAATGGTTATATTTATGGATATTTCAGCCGTCTCTGAACCAATCTTGATCAAACAAAGATGATTTTGTCATTCAAATTGTATGCTCTTTCAAATTTGACACTCAGTTTTTCGCTATCTCTCAAACAAATTATTTTGTGTAGCGTCCTCTATACCTGAACTCAACTATCCCTTTAAGCTCTGTCTGAACTCACACAGTCACATATCGAATTACAGTTCATCTACTTGATTGATAAAGTGATTATGAATAACTTCCCAAGCACAGATTACCGTTTTAAAACAGCTCATTTTTAAATTGTTGAATTGTGTTTTAAGAAGTGACTGGGATTTCATTCAGAGGACTGTTTAACTAAGTTTGAACAAATACATACACACAACATTAAATGATCTGAAACGCTAAAAGAATTAGATAAGAACATAATTTTAGTCCTACTCTTTAATATTCCATGCATGCACAACTAACAGGTCAGGATTACGTAATACATATGTTGGCTCCCGGGTTGGCTCATTTCAAATGTTACTTACCCAGGTACAACAGAGAAAACAAAGAGTTGAAGTTAAGTACAGAAATTAATTAATCAATACAGATTTATTTAAAATTTAATTCATTCTAATTGAAGCGAACTGCATGTTAACTAATATACGAATAATGAATAATAAAATTAAAGTGAAAATGTGTGTAACAAAATTTTAATTTCAATTTTATACAAAACAGGATCATACAATCAATAAAACGAACATAATGAATTTATATATTCGCGAAGTTATCAAAATTTCCTATTCTTACAATCAGGAACAACCAAAACATCGCTGGAAAAAACGAAACCTCCTCAAGGTGCATCAGCAGCAGCCGGTGAAGTTTCTAGTACTCCTAAAGCCAGGTAATTATGACTCTGTCCTCATCGCTAATGTACTTTTGGATCATTCTTCATTTAAATCTTATTGATGGGATACGCCAAAACCTAGGGAAAAGCTTTTTCTTCAATATCAATTATTTGTCAGCATAGACCAAAAGGATATATTAAAACGAGAATTGTTCACGTTCTGGTACAACGATTAAGCAATGTATTTACCAACTCCCATTGTGACTAGAATTGTGATTTGTACTGAAAGATGTATTGGTATATCCCCCTAACAAAAACGGAAGGAAAAAAACATGAAATAGAATTTGATTTGTAAGGATTTGATGGCATAATACCATAATACCATACCAATATAGTCGATCTGTGTTGATCAAACGACAACCTTTTGAACGTGTCAGAATACTCAAATCAACCATGCAGAAACACTCCAAAGTTGGCATTAATTAGATTAGGTTCCCCCTTTTATGAACAAAATTGATGCTTTCCGAGGCATCTAAAATACCAAGAAAGGATGGAAGTTGCAGGAAGAAAGCATTTGATATATTCAATGACTGGAGAATGAATACTCCAAACACGTGGGGGAGGGGATTAGAACCCCATCATAAAGAAAAGGCCGTAAAGTATGCCTCAAATGTATTTTAAAGGTAATAAACTATTCACAAATTCGTGAATTGACAATTCTGGATTGGGTACAATACATGTGGGGAAATGTTTATTTTGGCTGTTCGCAGCGCGGCTAGTTTTGTCGCTCTGCGGTGGCCAAAATTGTACGGGCTTGGTATCAAAACATAAGCTGTACTCTAAGGGTATGCTGCCCCCCCTCCTGCTCTTGTAGGGTTAAGACGTAAACCAAAAATAATATCTCTCTTATCTTTATCTGTATTAGGCGCATTATAAATGTGATTTATTATTATTATTATTATTATATTATTCCACGATGGAAAGAAATCGCTACAATATGAATTTAAATAATATTAATTCAAGTTTACTGTTAGTCATTTATACTGTTTTCTAACTGGCTTCTATCGGAGTCACACCGATGAAAATACCGATTGAATTTTCCTTATGTAAACAAAGGTGAAACCGCAGTTTTCCCCATGTCGTTTTCTAACTGCCGCTGAAATTCACTCGCTGTGGCGAGCCCTTGCCGGAAGTGAAGAATTATTGCGTAATTATTAAGCCCGCGCTCCATATAGCTAGCATGCAGCATGTTCAACCATAAGTCAACAAACACAGCTGGTTACGATAAAGCGCGCGTATACTGCGACCTTTTACCATTTTAATCGCTGTTTTAATCGCCTTTTTCTCCCGAACGTTTTCTAACTGGCAGTTTCATCGGTGTCACACCGATAGAATGAGAATTTAATCGCCTATTTCTCTTCTTTTCATCGGCTATTTAATCGCCTTTTTCTCCTCTGTTGCTTTCTAACTGGCCGTTTCATCGGATGCGTCCGGATGCATCCGATGAAAATCAGTGCAGTTAGAAAAGGGTATTAGTCAAATTTCGAGTTAAGGAAATCATTTAATTTATAGTTTCAATATACAGATAAAGGGTAGGCCTACTCAATTGTGGGAATGTAGATTATAAACTGAATTTAATCTGTTGCAATCATGCTGGTATTAGATGTTACTTGTAGTTTGGATTACCTTACATATAATTTATTCTTACACTACTTCGGAATTTCAAGAATGTTTTATAACAGTAACAGGAGGGGTATTATTTATTGATTTATAATCTGCCCATGCCCCGAGCGATTTAAAATGTCTTGATCAATCGTCTACGTACTTTTAAATTAAGAGAACATAACAATATTTATAGGCAATACAATATATTGAAATTGCCCTTTGATTTTTTTTGTTCAAAGTCTTTGCAATCGTGATATTTGAAATCAGTAAAACTAAGATCTGTAGTGTGGCAAGAATAAATGATAAAATGTAAATTGGGAAAAAATTATTAAATATAATGATAATTGCGTTGAAAATAATGACGGTAGGGCAATATCCTGTCACAAAGTGTAGGTTTTATAATGTTACGATCTGTACTTCGTTACTGATATATTTATTATATCTAAACAGGGAAGTGGACAACGCAATGCTTAATACGTTGGCAAGATACATTCCAAGCTACGCCTACAACACGTTCAGCGAAAAGCTTGGAATCGAGCACACCCAGGCCAGGAACATTTTGGATAAGTACAGCAGCGACTATGAGAAGTCAACGAGGGAATGCATAGCGAAATGGATGGATAGATCAACCCGTAGTGTGACTGACTTACATGATGTTCTGAGAGAAACTGAACTCGGGGGTTTAATTGTTCACTGTAATTAACAACAATATATATGTCATATGATATCTGATTTTTGTGCATTGTTCTGCACATTAAAATGATTAATCTTTAATGCTTACATATTGTAAACAATTTCATAATGAGATTGGAGTTTTTTGCGGAAGCCTTTACATTTACTGGTGAACGTCCAATGCATAATATATTTTATATGATATCGTACTAAAAATGGACTTTCGTGCGAAAATCTGCACCTCATAGTAGTGAATATTCAATAAATATATAATATATGACATCACAGCGAGATTGTACGTTTGTGCAAAGGTCTGGAATTCATACTGGTGAATGCCATATATATACTTATATATTTCATATGATATCATACAGAGATTGGATTTTCATACAAAAGTCTGCACAACATATTGGTGAATATTCACTGTTTATATATTTTATATGATATCGAAGTGAGATTGGATGTTTGTGCATAAATCTGCAAATTATAATGGTAAATATCCAATTTTATTTTTATGTTATCCCATATGATATTAAACCGGGATTGCATTTGTGTATCTAAGTTTGCACGTATTTATTGCTGAAGGCCATTGTATTTTAATTGCATAGTATATCTTACTGAGATGCATTTTCGTGCATAAGTCTGCACATCATAATGGTGAATTTCCAATACATATACATTTTCCATATGTTATCGTACTGAGATGGGATTTTCGGGCATAAGTGTGGACATCATAACGGTGAGTTTCCAATGTTTATTTCATATGATATCGAAGTGAGATTGGATGTTTGTACTTAAGTCTGCTCATTATAATGGTGAATATCCAATGCATTTTTCTTTTATCTTATATGATATTAAACAGAGATTGCATTTGTGTGCCTAAATTTGCACTTATTTATTGCTGAAGTGCCATTGTATTTTAATTTCATATTATATCTTACTGAAATGGATTTTCGTGCATAAGTCTGCACATCATAATGGTGAATTTCCAATACATATACATGTTCTATCATATTTTACTTAAATTGGATTTTCGTGCATAAGTCTGCACATTGTAATAGTGAATGTTCAATGCATATATACATTTCATAATTATGATATCATACTGAAATTGGGTTTCCGGGCATAAGTCTGCAAATGATAATGTTTAATGTTTAATGTTCAATGTATATATATTTCATATGATATAAAACTGAGATTGGATTTTCGTGCATAAGTCTGCACATTATAATGGTGAACATCCAATGCATATATATATGTCACATGATATCACATTGAAATGCATACATCTGCACATTGTAATGGTGAATTTATAATGTATATTTATTTCATATGATATCATACTGAGAATTAGATTTTCGTGCATAAGTCTTAACATTATAATGGTTAATGTTCAATGTATATATATATTGCATATGATATCGTACTGAGATTGGATGTTCGTGCATAAGTCTGCACATTGTAATGGTGAATGTTCAATGAATATATACATTCCATATGATATCATACTGAGATTGGAATTTCGTGCATAAGTCTGCAAATTGTAATGGTGAATATCCAATGCATAATATTATATATCTCATATGATATGATACTGAGATTGGATTTCGAGCATAAGTTTGCACATTATAATGGTGAATTTCGGTTCCAATACATATGTATTTTCTATCATATCTTACTTAAATTAGATTTTCGTGCATAAGTCTCCACTTTATAATAGTGAATGTTCAATGGATATATATCTCATATGATATCTTACTGAGATTGGATTTTCGGGGAAAAGTTCTCACATCATAATGGTGAATTTCCAATACATATATATTTCTATCACATCTTACTTATATTGCATTTTCGTGCATAAGTCTCCACATTGTAATAGTGAATGTTCAATGGATATATATTTCATATGATATACCGAGAGTGGATTCTCGTGCATAAGTCTGCACATCATAATGGTGATTATCCAATATATATATTTTTCATATGATATCGTACTTTTCGTGCATAAGTCTGCACATTGTAATGGTGATTATCCAATGCATATATATATATATATATATATCATACTGAGATTGGATTTTCGTGCATAAATCTACACATTTTAATGATGAATATCCAATGCATAATATTTGCTTATAGCGCCTTACACTCACATTATCAGAAGTATATATCTCAAATGATATCATACAGAGATTGTATTTGTATGCATAAGTCTGCGAATTTGTTCATAGTATTTCATATCCAACTATACGCATTTTCGTCCAGAGAACTGTGCTATTATATCATTTAATTATCATGTACTTTGTACTTTATTGATTGTAAAATACATAATTACACAGAGTAAAAAAGTACTATGATTTTGATTTCCATCGTGAATTGGATGTGACAGTGCTTATATGGGCTGCACATGTATTTATTGTATATATTGAAATTGCGTTTCCTTTCAGGGTTCTGCACCATATCTCAAAGCATTTTTCTACCGAAAGTTTTGATCTCTTTGGATCAACATTATTGTTCTAGAGGCCATAACTCTCTACAAAATGTATGTTACATTTCTGTTAACTGTTGTGCATATAATCAGGACACAAGTTTTCAGAATAACGCTAGGGTAAATACATGTTGGTGTACATATTTATTTGAACTGAGACTCGTTCAGATATGACACGGCAAAACCCCGGATGTCTTGTTAATGTGACGTAAAGGGTTATCGCTTCGCATTTCTTTATCTTATGATACACTGAGCGCTCAGTGAATACTCGCAAATCATTTGTTGCGCGCAGTTGCCATTAAACAGTCATTTAATGTTTGAGAGGTGTTGTGCTCCACATCATATCCAACTGTTTGAATTATATTTCAGTTCGTAAGTCGGCAATAATTCCTTGATGTATTCAGCATTTAGTAACAATGCTTCATTTGATATCATAAATCACTGTTCGGATCGGATATGAGCAAATAAATAAACAATTACTTAAACTGATTTGACATCGTCATCGAACTATTTATACCAAGTTTGCTATCTTAGTTGCGTTTTTTTTTTTCTCGTTAGTTTTTATTTTCATGTTGTTCATGTAATATTTATTACTGATACGATTTCATTTTGAAAATGATTACATAATTGAAAAGGGTGATGTATACCTCTATCAATGTGTATAAGCTTGTTAGAATAACTGAACATTTGAAGTGCATGAAAGGCAGTATTGTGGATTGAGAGAGAGAGAGAGAGAGAGATCAGAGGGGGGGGGGGGGCATATAATTGGCGGTACAAATTAGGGGCCGGAATTTAATGAGGTATCTGAAAGCGAGATCACAAAAATCATAATATGTTATTATGAGACGGAGAAGATACAAAAAGCGAATGGAATACGAAACTGAAAGGGGAAGGGGAATTCTTTAGAAGACGGAATAGATTAATTGATGAGATTTGGTAAAAACATTTATTTTTGAAAATGAGAACTAATTCGATGACTTAGGCGAGGCGTCAAAAATATCGATACCAGCAGGCTGCCGCCTCACGTATTGGCGCATCGAGGCTGCAATTACGGCCGAAGCCTGGCTGGGGCAATTATTTTTCACTTATTAGCCCAGCCGGCTTGCGCCAGGCTGGGATCTGAGGCTCGGTTTCCATTCGAAAGGCGGCAGCCGGCGCATGCTTATGTTTCGGAGACCATTATGATGACATCATGAGTTAATTGAGGGTCCTACCGCCAGCGGTAGCCGGCTGAGCTAATTTAAAAAATGCAGCCAGGACGCACAAGTGCAGTTAGCTGCCGCTGGCTGGTATATTTATTTTTGACGCCTCGCCTTAAAGGAAAAAGCAAGAATGAATAAAATGACACTGTAGGAGACTGGGAGATATTTAAATGTGTTTCTCCCGCCCAATTTTAAAAGCTGTGAAAGCACCAAATTCTTCATAGTCGTAGGTTTTTTTCAAAAAAGAAAGAAAGAGAGAGATAGTCATACATCTATAAAAAAAAGGGTTATATATTTCTGTTTAACATTATAAAGTTATAAAGAATGTTCGATAAATTTGCCATGCAGTGACAAATATCGATGCGCACTTGTATTGTATTGAATTTATTTTCCGTCATTTAAAAAATACATCAACATATATATATATATATATATATATTTACAATCATAAAGACACACTTATACAAAAAAATACGGAGGGATGGCCCTTTAAGAACAGTGTTTTTATTTAAGTCTGTCAGAGCTCTTGACAGCACAACTTAAGAAATCGTTGTGAAATTAAAAGGAAATAAGAACATAGTTAAAATGTTCTCTACTCACAATTCTCTACCAGGCATATAATAGCAAACATTTATTTTGTTGTTGTTGTCTTTTCGGTTGATGATGGATAGGCAAAGGGGAGATATTTTTATTTAGCCTATATTGGTAAGGTCACATGACGACCCCCCCCCACCTTTCCTCCCTTTGTTATTCACGGATCGCTAGTCACTCATTTTGTATTTTTTTTCTTTTCCTTTCTCTGCTTTTCTTTCTTTCTCTTTATGTCATTTTTGATTGATTAATCTCAATTGTATTGCCTTCTTTTTTTTCTTTCCTTTTAAATCTGCTCTGCTTTTCCTTTTTATCTCGCCTGCGTAGGAAAAAGCGAGACATAGGTGCCGCTTTTTCGGCGACGGCGACGGCGGCGGTGGCGGCGGCGGCGTCAACATCAAAAACTTAACCTAAGGTTAAGTTTTTGAATTGTTAGTATAATTTTGAAAGTATAAGTTCTCATTCAATGAAACTTGGACTAAAGGGTTATCATGTATTCCCGATCATTTGAGCAGAATTTTAGGTCACACAAGTAAGGTCAAGAGTCATTTCAGGTCAACAGACTTAGCCTATGTTGTGGCATCATCGTCAAGATTTTGAATTTTTAGCATAATTTCACAAGTGTTTGTTCAAATTCGGTGAAACTTGTACACAAGGGTTATCAAGTATCACAAATATTATGACACCAATTCCAGGTCACAACGTCAAGGTCAAAAGTCAAAAAGTCATGTTAGGTCAGTATGTGAGGATTAAAAAAAAAATAACGTTTTGTAATTTGTTTATCTTCCATTAAAGTTATTAATCTGGGTACAAATTATAGTAAATAATTCTTCAGATGACTCTTGGTCAATATTCACTTCAAAATGCTGATTATATTTAGAGGATTTCATGGGGGGGGGGGGGGGCTTGCTAATGGGCCACCCTGCCTATGAATGATGTCCCAACCTCAATTTTTCATCATATTGAATTGCGTAAGGCAGGCGAAGTCCGCCGAGAGCGTTTCCCTTGTTTATCTTCCCTCCCCTTTTTTTTCCTTCTTTATGTGTGTTCTTTTTCTTCCTTGATTTATCAGCTAGGAGATACCATACTTTTGTTGCTAAACAATTTAATTTCCGACGACCAACCTGAAGTGAATTTCAGTTTTTGTAAGTCAGTTTATTGCTTTTTCTTGAACTTAAAATACTAGGTATGCCAAATACGTCACATGTCAGTGCCATCGTTAAAGTTGTTTTATTATCATTTTATTGATTAAACATGTTTCATGTATAGCTTTGAGTTCATTTATTTTAGTTTTAACATGTACTGCTGTACATGTATATATAAAGCACAGGATTATTTGTATAAGTTGTATAATTATGATGTTGCTTACTATTGATTGCATAATCATATTGTTTTCATTTCAGTCAGGATATGATGTATGATAATATGTTTATAGTTTTGTATTTTCATCTCGACATGCATAATTATGTAAATATGTTTCATATTGCTATATTGTTAAATCTACTTCCATATTTGTATCTTGTTGATTTTATATTTGTTTTACCATTTCCGATTGTCATTTCGATGTTCTGAAATTGCAAGTAGTTATATTTTTTTTCAGATACCAATTTTAATTTAATGGTGAGATTTAATTAGGCAGAGATTCTGTTCATTATAGTACTGGCTGCATCTAC